GCCATTTACCTAATATGGGCCAGGTGCCCCCAAGCCTGACCTCTAGAGGAGTGGGGAGGACAATGGGTAGCCTTAATTGTGCCCCCAGCCCAAGACCAGGGCCACGAAAGCCTGGAATGGGTGTTCTGAGGACCTTCAGATCACTGCTATAAGCAAATATTTACTGAGGCTGCCATAAGGCTTCTTGAGAAAGAACCAGAGCTTATCTCACAGGCAGTGCTGTGCTGGAAACGGAACAGGTGCTCAATTTATATTTATAAAACATTTTAGGCCTGGGCCCAGGCAGTCCCACAACGGACTGTTCCAGACTCAAGGGAACTGCTGTGAGGGGGAGTGGGGAGGAATGGTGATGACTCGGGGGCTCTGCCTGACTGCTCACAGGACCCAGTCGAGTCTAGCTCCAGAACCATAGGCCTTTGGCCTGCCAGACGATTCTGTCTAGGGGTCCAGCAAAAATAAACAAAGCACCTTGCCCCCCAACCTACCCTCCTTGTTCAATATTCTGTACATAGGGAGACAAAGGCCTGCCCTCCCTCCTCCCTCCACTCCTCACACCAAGGAGTCACCACCTGCTAGAACCTTTCTTCTGCTCCACTGTTACTGTTCCACCCCTGGATCAGGCAGCATCCTCCAAACTAGCTTCCCTGACTTCCCATTAACCCATTTTCCCACAGCAACCTGTGGTTTTTACAAATGCAATCTGATCAATTAACATCTCATGTTAATAGGCTGAATGTTTACAGGGCATCAGTCCATCTGCTAAACCTGTATTTCACACCCACTGCTTCTTGCCAGGCCCCTCTCTGTCCCCAATTTACCCTGCTGCTCTTATGTTCCTGTGTGACCACAGGGGTGACCCTCTCCAGTCCCTTCTCTCCCTGTGCCTTCACCACCACACACAGCCAGATGAGCTGCTCCCACTCGTGCCACCAGCCACACGTGGTTCTCTAGGCTTCCTGCCTTTGCACCTGCAATTTCCTTGGCCCTGCACACACTTCCCCTCCCCAACTGAATGACTCTTAGTGAGCCTTGAAGACTCAGCCTAGGGTATCACCTCCTCCAGAACCCCTTCCTGACTCCCTCCAACATACAGACCCCTCTTTATCACAATACGCTGTAATCACTGGTTTCCTGGTCAGTCTCTCCCAGGAGACCGCTCCTGCCTGGAGCATACACGGAGCCTGGAACAGTGGGGTTCAATAACCCTTTGTAGCCGCTTGCGTGAATGAATGGATCACAGAGCAGACAGTGTAAGCAGGAGGCTACAGCGTGCCCGCAGTTGAATAAAGAGGTGGGCCAGCCATTCATTCTCTCATTCATCTGGAAGTCCCCCAGCCGTCACACTCACAGGGGTCTAGGCGTGCTGGGACCCTGGCAATACTTGGCCCTGGGGGCGGGGAACGGGAAGGGGCGGAGCTGAACCGCTTCTCCGGAACCCAGAGGCAGAGTACGACCTAGGGGCGTACTGGGTGTCTGGGTCTCAAGACCCCAGCCTTACTTCCCCACCCTCCCGTTACCCACAAGTAATCTTAGGTTTCTGCTAGGCTGAGCCCTGGCACCATAGGGTCCTGGGACCTCGCACAGACCGGGCCAAGCCGACCCTCGGCCCAGCGACCCCAGGGTCGGTGACCTCTGTTTCCCGCACGATAGTGGAGGCCTCCCATAGCCATGAGACCGCTGCCTGTCCCTGCGCCCGCGCGGGCGCCCTGTGTACTCACCGGCTCCGCTGTTTTGGTGTGCCGGTGGGGGCCAAGATAGGCGGCGTGGCCGGCTCCGTGGGCACGTTCTCCCCGCCCAGGGCCCGCCCGGGGCCGGGCCGCTGCCTGTCGTCATCCCTAGCAGGGCGCAGACACAGGCTCGCGCCCGCGCGCGCGCGCAGCCTCCTGCCCAGCACAGCTCCAGGCCGGGCCGCCCTGATCTTGACCCAGTCCTAGTCGGCGGAGACTTGGTACCACACACTCCGCAACCAGCTCCCAGGACGAGGAGGGTCACAGCGCGCGCGCGCGCGCGCACACACACACACACACACACACACACACACACAAGCCCGCGCCTTTCTCCAGCAAAGAGCCGGCCCTTTCGCTTTAGTACTGGGTTGGGTGGGTGCGTCTGATGGGGTTCTCCCTCACCATTCTAGGGCCCCTTTGCATCCCCAGAGCAAACCCGCCCCTCCTCTGCGTACCAGGCCAGGTCGGTTCTTTTTGTGACTCTTTCTTCACCTCATTCCGCTCCAGCCACTGCTCTGAGCTGGCCAGAGGCGGCCTTGACTGAGCTCGTTCTGGGTGCTTGGAGTTTCATAAGCACTAGTCCTTTGACCTCAGAGCAGCCCAGTCACCTAAGTGTTATTCTGCCCAGTTCATGGCCCAGCCCACTGAGGATCAGGGAGCAGGAGGAGGAGGAATTCAACCCCAGGTCCCCACTGTGAAAAACCCTGCTCCTAGTGACAGTTAATAGAGTGGCACTTAAAACCTTACCCCTCCTTTCCATACACTGTTGTCCAGTCTGTTCCTATCCCACCACGGATCAGAACCCTTCCCCACTGCTCAGCTCTTTCCCAAGGGGTTTGTTTGAGAGAGCGCTGGGGGTGCTGGAAAGATACAGCCGCCCTTCCTCCCTGCCCAGAGCATCCCAGCTTACAAGTTTGCAGGGCCTGTGGGGATGAACCACACGGATGATCTCGCCGGTGGGGATCAGCTCCACTTGCAGCGCCATTCCCCTTGTGGATAGCCAGCGTTGATGAGCACTGGGGCCTCTGAGCAAAGGTCTGCCTGCCTGATACACAGGCTATGGCTGCTCCTGGAGCCAGGGATCTGGCCTTATGCTGGGATGGCCACTTGGTTCAGCTTCAACTTCAGCCCCAGGGGATGCGTCTGGTCCAGCTCCTCAGGACACAGCTGGAACAGCCCAGGTCTGATTGGGAGGCCTCTGGGCCCAGAGGGTTGGGGCAGGAAGAGGAGGGGCTGAGTGATGGAGGAAATGCCTGTTGTCCCAGGTAACCAGAGCAGCTGATACAGCCACCATGGGGTACCCTGGGCTCTAGGTCAAAGGGTAGGTGGTCTTTCTCCCCAGCAGCTCCCTGGCTGAGCCTCCCCCTGCCCACTTACTGGTGTCAGCTGGAGAGCAGTGACCACTCCCCAAACCAGCATGCACATTCCATCCTAAGCCAAGAGGATCCATCAGTAGGCACTGCCCCTCCTGCATGCCCTGTCCCCTTCCTCCCAATTTGCCTGCCTCCCATGGCAGCATATGAGCCCCTTGACTGACAGGCCAGGGCTGCTGGGGGCTGGCCATGTTGGTCAGGGGCGGTTGACTGGCTGGAGAAGCAGGAGGGCACTGTGAGAACCCCCTGTACCAACCTCCTCTAGAGACAAATGCTTGGGAGGTTTGTCCCTGGGTTCCCTGGTTGTGGACAGCCTTAGCCCTGCTGGCTCCTTACTTTTCCATTAGCATCCTCAGGTGCCCCCTACCCTTAATGTTCCTGTTTTTCTATATTTATTGTTGCAAAATCATCACAGCTGACACTTTCCTGGCCTGGGACTGAGCCTTGGGTCTCCAGCCATTCCTTATAGGAAGTGAGAATGGGGAAGTGGATGGGGGCAAGTGGGAGGGGTGAAGTCCAATGTTGGGCAGTCACATTCCCCCAGGCACTATTCCCTACCCTCCTCACAGCTTCCCCTGCCCCGCCCCGGAAAGACCAGCAAAGCTTCCTTCCTTCCTCCAGGAAGCACATCTATCCCGAGCAGGCTCATCCCCGGCAGCCACACAATGGCCCTTATCAGCCGTGGAGCCAGGCACAGAGACCCAGAACACATGAAGTCTCACATATTTCCTGTTTCCACTCAGGGTCAGGGCTGGGCCCAGAGTGGCTATATCCTGACTGGGGCCAAGAGGAGGGAAAGCACTCCCCTTTCCCGCCTCTCAATCCTGTTGGTCCCACCCCTGCCAGGCTAGGAGGGGCCCTGCAACCTGAGGTGGGTATAGAGACCAATGTAGATTTACAGGGGAAGGGGAGAGGTGGGCATGCAGAGGACAAGCTTGCTCCACAGGGAGAAACAGGGGCCCCCTGGACTCAGGAGCCCTGGAGATCCAGCCCCAGGGTTACATTAATCAGAATGAGGAGGTAGTGCCCTGGCTGGTGTGGTTCAGAGGACTGAGCGCCAGCCTGTGAACCAAAAGTTTCTGGTTTGGTTGCCAGTAAAGGCACATGCCTGGGTTGTAGGCCAGGTCCCCAGTTTGGGACATACAAGAGGTAATAAATCAAGGTAAAGAATTGATGTTTCTCTCCCTCTCAAAAAAAAAAAAAAAAAGATGTAGCTATAGCCTTTTTGTTTTTTTTTTTTATAACTTGTTACAACTGTTGTGAATAGTTGCACTATTTGTATTTTACGGACAACAGACTATGTAGGTAGAGATGGAACTCTGATTCAAACTCAGGTCTTGAGCCAGTTCCTGCTTCTGACTCTGCATAGCACTTCTGGGCTGTGGTCTGACAAATGGAAGGTGCCATGTGACAGCACTGTGATGGCTGTGCATGCGAGATGCAGTAAAGTGGGCAAACGCAAGGGTTCGGGGTTCTTCAGGTGTGTGTGTATATTGGGGACAGGGAAAAGAGGTTACCAGGGAAACTTCCGGGTAGGGGGTATCTGGGACAGAAAGACAAGATGGTGATTTTGGATAGCTTAACTCAGGACCAAAGCTCAGTGTGAGGGAGTGGCGGGTGAGGAGCCATGGACAGCGGAGTAAGCGCCTTTGCTGAATTATCAGTTCTAGGAAACCTATTCTACTGAGTAGCAGACTGCATTAAGTGCCCCAAAGCACACCTCAAGTGGGCCAGGAACCAAGAGGGCCACTAGTTCAGACCCTCACCCCATTCTCTCCCAGGCAACATGTCATTAGCAGACACAAAGTCCAATCTGGATCTACAGGGCCCTCAACCTGGAGTCCAGCAAAGGCCCCTCACCGCGCACCCCTTCCCACCGTCATCACGAAGGAGTCACACACACAAGTGTAAAAGCCATGTTTCTCATTACCCCCCCATGTAACAGAGAAAACAGACAGCCAAGGCCCACCTGGAGCCAGGGGGACAGTTCTTGACAGCCCACATGGCTCCCAGGGTGGAGTACGGGATGCAGAACAACTAGAATGTTTCTCATTTCCATGTTATAGGACAGCTGTGACAGTCACAGAGTAGTTCCCTGAGGTGTCTTTTCCTGGGAGAAGGTCCATTGAGTCACCAGTGGCTGGAGGCAAGTGGTAGGAGTAGGGATAGCCATGTCCACATAGCACCTGGAGAATGCTCTCTGAAGACTCCCAGGGCCAGATTTTCTAAAACATCTTCACTCTGGCCATCTCCATTGGCCCCCACTTCTAGATCCCACAGTGGTCTAGAGAGAGGGCAGGCTCCTGGCCAATGACTGCAGGCAAGGGGAGGGGCAGATGAGCTCAACTGGGCAAAGACTACTCTAGAAAAGCCTGTGGCCACAGCTTCTCTATACCTGCCAACCCTTCACAAGATGCCAGGTTCAGGGCACGATCCAGCAGAAGGGAACCAGGGCCCAGGCCGGTGCAGGCAGGGCACGCAACCTGCCCACTTAGTCATGCTGCCTCTGCTCAAAGCAAGGATCCCAGACCTTCTTCCCATCCCTCAGGGGGACAGGAGATGAGATGCCAAGACTCCCGGAACCCAGGGCTGCTGTGCCAGCGAGTCAGTGGAGCCTATACAAATGTGAGCATCTCCCCATCCCGGGCAGTCTGAGGCCTATGATGGGATGAGGAGAATGCAGGCCGGCAGGCCTGCTGGGGCAGGACTGAGACTGGGGCAGGGGCTGGGGGTGGGGGATCGAGAAATGAGATGTAGGCTGGAGTGTCCTTCCCACCTTTGGTGGACAATGCCCAGGTCTTCACTGTTGACAAACTAGCTGGTTTTACTCACATCTCAGCAACAAAACCCTGTATTTAAGTGACTAATGCCAGGGGTCTGGACTGGAGAGAGCAAAGGAGTGTGGCTAGAACTCCCCTTGGGAGGTGAAGGATACTTGCTGCCTCCTCGGGGAGCTGGGCCGGGCCCCCAGCGGGCCTGGAAGTGGCGAGCAGAGCTGGCTGCCAGCTCTGGCCTCTGCCCTGGATTCCTCCTCATTTAGGCTCACATTTACAGCTGGGATTCACCCAGCAGGTCCTCCTCCAGGAAGGCACGAGGCTGGATCTGCGGGGATAAAACAGGCAGTGAGCGGGAAGGGAAGAACAGGTTTTTTTCCACGTTGTTCCATCACTGTCATTCCCCAACTGCTGCAGCTCCAGGTACACGTGGGCTCCTAGGCCTGTGGTCTCAGGGAATGGATGAGGGGCTCAAGCTCAAGTCCTCTCTGCATCTCCCCCCACCCCAACCACTTTACCTTAAAGGGACTGCTCATCCCCACCACGGAACGTAGACTGTTGCTGTAATAACAGAGGAGAAACTGACCCTCAGTCTCAGGGATATCGCTGACGTTGATATAAACCTGGAGGGGAGGGTGGACAGGAATGGGGTCAGCTCCAGGGCAATGGGTCCCATCCAGCTGTTAGTGACAAGTCACCCAGCAGGCAAGCCCTCCTGTGGGAGATGTGGAATGCCTCTCTCAGGAGGTGGGGCAGGTACCTGGTTCAGCCCATTGCTGAAGGAGACCTGGTTGTCCCCAACCCAGACATAGGACACGTAGTCATTAACGTGGCGAAGCCCAACCTGTGGGAGGGGGGATTGGGCAGTCAGTGGTCTGGGAGGACACAGGACCTATGGCAAACCCTAAGATGAGGATGGCCGCACCCCTAGGTTTGGCCATCATACCGTATGCCCTCCCCATCACTGCCAATCCCCAGGTGAGCTCTTCAGTCTGTGCCCAGCTCCCGTGGGTCCCAGGATGGATAAACCAGAGGGAAGTGGCTGACTGACTCCCTGCCTTGCCATCACATCACCTTGTACAGTCCAATCCAGTCCCAGGGGCTGCTGGGGAAGTCTGGGGTCCAGGTATAGCTGATCAGCATGTCGTTCTCCATGGTCCACAGGCCCTCTGGCATCAGGGTGATCAGTGGGACAGATACCAATGGCTTCAACTACACAGAGGGATGGGAAAGAGGTTGAAAATCCATAGCATCATTCACTTCTCTGAGACAAATGTCCTTACTGTGCCTTTCTAACAAGTCTAACAAGTAAGGGTCAAGCACATGGCGGGGGGTGGGGACCAAGGTGGTGGGCATAGAATGTTAAGCTGTCCTGACAAAGTAGCAGATCTTGGCTGGCCAGCTGGAAAGAGAAAGGGCCAGGCCCTGGCCAGGTAGCTCAGTTGGTTCGAGTGTTATCCCAATACACCAAGATTGCATGTTCGATCCCCAGTCAGGGCACATACAAGCAACAATGAAGGCACAAATAAGTGGAAAAACAAATCAACGTTTCTCTCTCTACAATCAATAAATAAAATAAAAAAAAAAAGAGAAAGTACCAAAGGCTTGACAGGCGCGGCTGGCTCCAGCAGGAAAGACGGGGTAGAGGGCCAGCTGGGTAACCAAACAGACAGCCCAATGCTGAGGGGTGAGGGTGGGAAAGAATGGGGTGAATTGCTAACAGGTTTAAGAGCCCAGAAGCTGCTCTTAGGCCTTCAGGGTGCATGACCCAAGGACCCAAGTTCAGTATTTCAGGGGAGGGTGCCTGTGGTAAGAACAGACAAAGGCATGGGGAAGAACAGATGGTACAAAGATAGACAAATGAGGATGAAAAGAGGAAGGCTGAGGGCAGCCAGCAGCTCACAGGTTAACACTGACTTGGCCAGTAGATAGCAAAGCTCAAGGATGGAAGGAGCTCCCTCTGCAACCTGACCCAGACAGGTTCAGGACAAATAAAAGGAAGTCCTACTTCACATAGCAGGTAATAAGCATAATGGAACTCAGCCCAAGGGGCAGTACCAAGAGGAAATGGAAACCTATTCACAGAGGGTTCGAGCACCTTTCTGGCAGGCAGAGCCATCAACAGCTCCTCAGAAGAGCTGGGATCCCTGACCTGGGAGGAAGGGTAATCATGTCCTCCTATGGGTCTCCCCTGGGGGATCTGCTGACATTAGAATCCAGGGCTGGAAGGTTTGAGGATGTGACCCAGCATGGCTGCTCCTCCAAGTGCTAGACAACCCGAAAGTTCACCTCCAAGTCAAAGGTGCCGGTGACAGGCTTATGGTCACTGATGGTGTACATCATGTGGCTGATGTAGCTCCTCAGACACAGTGAGAAGTGGGGGGCTGGCAGGCTGGGGGTGCAGGAGCCAGAGCAGAGCTGGCGCTTCAACCTCCACAGGATACGGTCAGTCCACGCAGGCTTGCGTTTTTTCTCACTGGGGGTGGGGGAAGAGAATGGAGAGAAAAAAAAGGCATTGGCAGGAGAGCACTAGGTACCCCCACTAGCTTCCTGGAGCCCCTAACACCAGGGTCCACCAGCAGCCATGAGCCTCCTGGGCCAGAGCTGGAGCACGGACAGCCTGGCAGCAGGAAGGAGGGTGCCCAACAGAATCAAAAGTATGCTGGCCCTTCTCAGACTCAGCCAAGGGCCCTCAGCCTAGTCTATGTTTTTATGAATCAAACGGTGACTCAGAAACATTCCATTGCAAAACTTTTCTTATTTCTTAAGCAACAGCAGCAGTAGATCAAAGAAACTGAGGTTTGGATTTTGGAGTCAGACAGAACCTGAGCTGAATCTGGCTTCTCCCGTACTAAACGTGCAACCTTGGGAAATGACAGGGACGCATGTAGGGAATGCTCGCTACATGCCTGTGATCGGTGCTGTTTACTTCACTCTCTATAGGTGCAGAGATCGAGGCTTAGAGGGGAAGCGACTTTCCCAAAGTCACAGAGCTCGTGAGTGGTGGAGCCAGGAGTCGGGCCAGGCAGCCGGAGCACAGAGCATGAGCTCTGTGTCACCTGGCCGGGCCCTCTTAGAACTCAGCTTCCTCCTCTGTAAAATTGAGATGACTAGTTACCTCACAGGGTTGCTGAGATGATTCGATAAGATAAAGCAGAAAAACTGTTTAGCACAGTGCTTGATATAAGCTCTCTGTAGACACTGCCTATTATGGTTCTTTGTTCTTAAGAGTCAGCTGAGACACCTCCCACCTACCTGTTCTTCCACTTTCCCTGAGAAGCACAAGGACCTACAACCCTGGACACAAGAGTGTTTTCCTCCACTAGGTACCTACAGGTGCCCTAAGACAGACAAGTCTCTGACTCCTAACCCAGCCCTGCTCAAACAGCTACTGGTTATTCTTTAAGGCGGGCTGGGCACCCAGGCCCCTCCCTCCAAATGGAGACCCTGAATCCTTAAATGGGGATGGGGAACAGTTGATATTTCTGGGTTCCTCCGACTTGTTTAAAAAAAACAACAACAACTTTATTTATTTAACTTTACTTATTTTTAGAGGTGGGGGGAGAGGGAGAGAAACACTGATGGTTGCCTCTTGCAGACCCCCAGCTGAGGACCTGGCCCGCAACTCAGGCATGTGCCCTGGCTGGGGATCGAACCTGATACCTTTTGGTGTGCAGGCCGGCACTCAATCCACTGAGCCACACCAGCCAGTTCCCCCTCCCCCTTAGTTCTGAATGACCCTTGGAATAGTAAAGCCTGGTCAGATGAGTCAGATTTTCTACTTTAAAATCTTTAAGAAGTTTCATTGCCTCTAGAATACAGGTCAAGTCTCCCAGATGCAGCTTTTCAAGGTGCTCTGATGCCTGATGCCTCTGCCTTCATCTCTTCCCACTGCTCCAGACCCACCCCACACTGGAGATTCTCTCAGGCCTTAGGACCTTTACTCTAACAAAGGTGTCCAACCTTTTGGCATTTCTGGGCCACACTGGAAGAAGAGTTGTCTTGGGCCACATATTAAATACACAAACACTAACGAAAACAAAAAAATCTCATGTTTTAAGTAAATTGACGATTTTGTGGTGGGCAGCATTCATAGCCATTCTGGGCCGCATATCGCCCATGGGTTGGACACCCCTGCCCGTCTATAAGTTTTTGCCTGGAGCACCCTTTTTCACAGGGAGATGCCCAATTCCAATGATGTCTTTGTCATAAAGCTGTCCCGTCCTCTCCTCTTTCCTCCAAAGGGTTTACACCAGTATTTTCACCATTACATTACATTGTAATTGTCTGTTTCCCAGTCAGCATAGCAGTTAGTGTGTCAACTAGGACGGCAAAGTCTGGCTCCTGGAGTCTCCGTGTGTTCTCAGCGTTAGTACAGAGCCTGGCACATAGTAGGTACTAGACAACTGCTTGGGAACACAAACTAACTTAACCCCAAGCTCAATCTCTCTCCTCAAAAATGCCCTTCTAATCTCAATGTATCTGTATCTTCACAGGCTTAGAGTCAGTTAGAAATGCCATTTTTGTTTTCGCCTTTATTTAATTACTATTTTAAGTAAACATTTCTTACATACAGTTGTCATTTCAACAGTGATACAGTTCTCAAGCAAGAGAGGCAGAAACGGTACCTCAGTTGGTGAACTTGGACTTTAGGGTCAGAGACCAGTCAGGGGAAGGGTCTGCCCTGGTAATTAAGAGCCATGTGGTGCTGGGCTGGCGAACACGTGGAGACCCAGCCAAATGGCGGGCCTGGAAGCTCCCGGCCCTGTCCCCACACCTTGCCCTGTGCCTCTCTTCTACTTGCCTGTTCCTGAGTTACATCCTTTTAGAATAAACCAGTAATCTAGTTTGAAAAGATAAAAAGGCTAATGTGCCCTTGGGTAGGTAAGTGACATCATCACTCCAGCCTTGGTTTTTCCAGCTCTAAGATGGGCTGATAATAGTACCTACTTCAAAGAGCCATTGTGAAGATTAAATAAATTACAGTGCGTCCAGGGAGCAGTCAGGAAGTAGTAACTGGCCACACCACCACATCTGCTCAGGCCTCCGTGGATTGTTTCACCAGTTCACTCTTCTGAGGGGTGTCCAGGGTGGACACCAGAATGTGGTATTTCTATCCTAGACACTACCCCGAGTCTTACACATTCAGTGCCTAACATATGCTTAAAACTTGGTAATAAGCCTCGGAAATGTACCACTCTCCCTTTCAAACCATTCCCTTTCCCCAACTTCCCTCAGAGTTAACAGCCCAAGATTTGCTGTCACATCAGAATCCTCCCCAAGGCCTGACCACAGCCAGTCTCCCTTCCTCCTCGGTACCTCTCAGCCTTCCCTCCTTGCCCATGGCTGGCCCAGGCTCACCCCTGGCCACCTGTAGTACTCATTCTTTCAGTGAGATTCGCTGAGCCCTTATTATATGCCAGGCCACCTGGAGAGCTGATAAATGAGGTTGACAAGGTCCTTGAGGAGCTTGTTTGAGCCACAAAATTAAGCAGAATAAATGTGTACCAATTAAATATTACACACGTTCCCCCCAGTTCTCCATTTCTAGTCACAGTGTAGCTAAACAAGGGGTCCCTCTGTGCATTAGGCAGTGACAGGTGCTCCAGAGACTGTTCGAATCCTTCTGCCACTGGAAGAATGTTACAGACCCCGTTTTTCTCCTACAGGACAACGAAGTTCAGAGAGGCCACCCTGTCCAGGGGGAAGGGGGTGCTTGCCTGGTCTGCCGGCTGTGGAGTCTGCGCTCCTTCTGCCACACTCTGCTCCTCCAGCCCGCCCGCTGTGGCCCGTTCACAGCTGCCAGAACGGGCTTACAGTGTGTTACATGAACGGGGCCTCTCTCATACGTTTTGGTTGGTCAGAACTGAATACAAGAACTGTTTCTGGAGATTAGTATGCCTTTACTTAAAAATAAATAAATAAATAAATAAAACCAAGCAGCTTTGCAAGATTCTCTCAGTTTAAGAGCCTAGAAAACTGAGCCAATTTATTGATCCAAAAGTAGTGATGCGTCCATTTGGGGTCCATTTCCCCCTACAGCTTCCTGTAGACAGCTTCTAAGTGTCTCACTGAACTCTGGACACGAGTCCTGACTAGATTGATGATAATATCCTCTGCCCATTGCCTACCAGAGAGGTTGACTGGGTTCATGTAACAAAACCCTATTGCAATCCCTGACTTTAACAGGATTGCTGGCCCTCAGCCCTTTCACCCTCCCCTGTAATGGAGCTGACCTCAGTTCTCATTACATCTTGGCTCTGAGACACTGCCTCGGCTGGCGAAGCTGCCTCCCATGCCCTGCACACAACTCACTCACAGTTCCTTCGTACGGCTGGGTCAGGCTCCACTCAATCTGCTCCTCGTCAGTGCTGCTGACTGATTGGAATGCCTGCCCTTCTTTCCGCCAAACTCGGCTGCCTTTTTGACAATTCTGACTGACTCCTCCTGGCTTCAGCTGCTCCCCTCACCACCTGCCTCAACCTCCTTTTGCACTTCCACGTAGAGTTCTGGGGCCTTCTCTCTGCCGACCAAGGAACCTGATAGTGCGTATTTGAATCTTTTGCTATGGGTGGGTCCCTCTGCTAGACTAGCTGCTCCTTAAATACTGTATCTTTCCCTTTTGTCTTTTCAGGCTCCCAGTTCAAACATATGCCAGGCACTATGCTACATTCCGGAGATGGTCATAAATCAGATCATACTTTTGCACTCTGGCATCCACAGCGCAGCAAGAAAGGCTCGCTATGTCTTAAGAGTAACAAAGAAAGTGTGGTGTACACAATGCTTGTGGCAGCATAAGGACAGGAGAGAGCTCTCAGTGAGACGGGGAAGGGTGGGTCAGGGAAGGCTCTCTACTAGAGATGATGTCTAAACTGGTTATCAAGGACAAACACCAGTCTGATGAGGCAGGAAGGCTTCTGCTCACAGTGTGGGGCTTGAGCCCTGGCCACAGCAGGAACTCCCAGCTGCCCTGGCCCCTGGCTCCAGCCGTCAGTATTTTAGTTTTTGTGCCCTCCTGTAATGACCTCCCAGCCCCTGTTCCTGGAGTCACAGACTCGAGTTCAAATTCTTGCTCCATCATTTACTGTTACTCTCCTAGGTATTCCAAGACTCAGTTTCCCTATTTGTAAAGAGTCAGTAACAAGTGCCTACCTAATAAGGGTATGGTACGAATTAAGTGAAGTGATGCAGGCAAAGCCCTCAGTACAGTGCCTGGCAATAAAAAGTGCTCAGTCACACCAGCCACCACGTGGACTGTATCTGTGATGCGGAGATAAGTACCTGCCTCCTCCTTAGCAAGACTTTGCTGTCCTGATCCCGTCCTCCTTTTTGCTGCTGTTGCTGCTGCTGGCGAAAAGAGTAGTGACTTTAGAGGTACTGCGGGCTAGGGGGAAGCATTGTGAGCTGGAGTCCAGAGATTCAGGTCTGAGCTCCAGCTCTGCCATCCTGTGCTAAACCACCTGGGGAAGTCCTTTAACACGTCGGAGCCTTTCTGCCCAATCTCAGTCCTGCCATCTGTGGCCGATACCTGGCTGTCTGAAACAACCCTCATACCGTCTCCTGACGGTTGCCCCACCACACCTGGGGGTGGGGGCAAAGGGACACTCGGCTACGTGGCCTGTCAGCAGCTCTCTTCCTCATGGCAAGGGAAGTTTTAAAGTCAGTTGGCGGGGAGGAAGTACGCTGACGGCTAAGCTGCGAACTGCCAATGAAGAGGAGCAGCCCCTCGGAGCTCAGAATCATCCTGGCCAAAAACTAGCAAGAAAATAGGGACCACCACACACCCCCAGGGGATGAGCTGTGCCAACGATCTGCAACCACTCGAGCCAGCACCTGAGCATAGCCTTGTGCGAGCAGTGGGTCCAGCTAAACGGTGCCCTCACTGCTGGCCCATGGAAGAACTGAGAGATAACACACTCGTGCTGCTTTAAGCTCTTATATTTGGATTGGTTTGTTATGCAGTAATGGAAAACTAATATACAAACTATTCCAACTTTTTTGTAAATTAAGGAGGACGTAAATAAATAAAACATAAGTAACCAACTGTGACCATTGTAAGATAAATAAAATAAAATAAATTAAATAAGTCAATTGGTGGAGGGTTGAGCTCCCACGGCCCCAGCCTGGCCCACTAAGGCCTTATAATTGCCATGGCCCTCATTTCTAACGGATGGCTGGGGGACTGGCAGTCTCCCTGCAGCTGTGGGCCTGGACCAGCTGCAGACTGCCCTCTTACCTCCTTCCTGGCCCACTCGGTTGCCCTGGCTGAACTCTGTCTCCAGTATTCGTGGCCTCTTCTTGTGTGCATTGTGCAGGCCATGACCCCATTCCGTCTTGCTCCACACTCCTGCAATGGCTCACCCCACTTCTTGGCAGAGACACTGTGACTCTGTCATACCACTGAGAGCCCTGGGCCGGTGCTTCTACCTCTCGCCTTGGCCTGGCTGTGAAAGTACCTATTTAACTCCTAAATCCCGGAGGCCTAGGTTGTCCTGGAGGACCTCCTATGTTCCTCAGAAGACAGTTCTGATAGGAGGAATAAATGAAGGAGCTGTTCCAAGTAAAACAAAAAGCCCCATAACATGTAAGGGCTTCTTTTTCTCTCCTTGCCCCAAGCTGGGCCAGGGACCCCTTGCCAGAGCTGCTTTTGCCCCTCTCCCTAAGCCTCAGGTTTTTGTGGTTACCCCTTCTCTGCTTCTTAGGAAGGTTTTCAGTAAAACTACCACCTGACGACATGGACCTAGAAATAATAATAGCAGTCATCATAGTGCCTGCTGGGCGCCAGGTACTGGGCTCTACATATGCAATCCTCATACCTAATCTCATTCAATCCTCAACCTAATGGGTTGGTGGGTGCTGTTATCACCCCTGCTTTATAGATGACAAAGTCAAGCTTTGAATATATTGGCCAAGGTCATACGGCAGATGCAGAGCTGTGCTTCTAACTACTAGAAGCACTCTCTATATTTTCCCCTATAAAATTCTCCACTGATGACTACTACTTTACCTTCTTCAACAGTACCTAACCCACTCACAGCTAGGGCAGGGGTGCTTAATACCAGTAACTGGCTGAGCCAAGCCCCCATCTGGGGAGGACCAGAAAGCCCTGGGGAGTGGGGAGGGGTTCCCAGAACGCTGAAAAGCAGCCCCTCCTAAGTCAGGAATCAGCTGCCTCCTCTTCTATGGCCCTACTTGCCTTGCTGCCCACCCCCGATCCTTGCCACCACCAGCTCCCCCACCTGCCTTCTCTGAGGACAATCTGGGACAGCTCCCAAGTTAGTGCCTCAGAGGGGTTGAGCGGCAGCTGAGAGGTGACGGCTGGATCTATTTCTGCTTCCCTAGTACTGCTGTTCTCAGGCAGCTCCCACTTGCACAGAGGCAGCACTGCCTGGCTCCCAGGACTCGTGGCTCCCCGTCTCCTCCTCACAGGCCAATTCCAGATCCAAGGTATGTTGACCCTCTACAGGTGGAGGCTCTCACCTGGTGTCATAGTTGTCGGAGTTCTTATCAAACTTGTAGGTGGGTGGGAAGAGCAGAGGGCCCTCCTGGAACTCCCGGAGCAGCGGGTCACACCTCTTGGCAATGCGGAGCTGCAGAGAAAGGCGCAGCCCCATCTCCCAGTGGTCCTGACTCCACGGCCCGGGAGCACACTCCATTTAAGGGATCAGCCATCAAAGTGAGGGAAGAGTCAAGCGATGCCACTTCCCTTCCTCACAGCTACAGGGGCAGCCTCAGCACCCCATCTCCACCCCCAGAACAACAGCTGAAACCCTTAGCAAACACTACCCTACAGTCCCAGGGGAGGCGCTGCCTGCCCTTTCCCAGTCCTTGGACTACAGGGACCAGGCTTTGAACTCCATCTCTCTGGGAGCCCCTAACAGACAGGTGTCAGAGGGGAGATGGGGGTGGCCAGGGTTCCCCAAATGGGTGGTATCTCATCCTCCAGGAGGCAAGCAAGTCCGGGGATGGGAAGGGCGACAGGGATACAAAGAGGTTGGTGCTCAGCAGGCCAAAGCCGCTCTTGCTCCCGATGATAATGCAGCTATACCTTGGTTTCCCCAAATGAAGACCAGGCCCTGCCAGGGCTGGCTGCCCCGCCCCAGGTGCGAAGCCCTGTTAGACTCCTCCCTGCTAAGGACAGGGATTTCAGAGGACTGGGAAAGGGGAACAGACACTAGGGAACGTGGACAGCCCTCTGCCCATGTCATGCTGGACCTCCACCATGGGCTCAGATCACCCCTCTGGACCCCTTCAGCCCCATCAATACCTGATCCTTCTCCCACAGGTCACTGTAGCACTGACTTTTTATGCATTCCCGAACAAAGTGCAACCCAAAGTCCTCGATCCGAAAGTTCATGTCTCCAAACCAGACAATGAGGCTTCAGAAAGAAAAGAAGGTGGCCTAAGGTTTGTGATGAGGACAGAGAAAGGGGTGCAACAGGTGGCCCAGGCCGGCTCCCTCCAGGGGCTACAGGTGAGAAGTCAGATGCTGGGAGAGTGCTAGGTGAAGTCCAGGACATAGGCCCACCAGGACTGTTCCCACGGCTCCCACCCCATCAGCTAGGCTGAAGAGACCAGCCCTGAGGGCAAGTGGCAAATACGAAGCAGGCTCTAGCCCTCCCACCCTTTCCCTCCCTCACTTGGCCACCAGGCAAGGCTGAGAACCAGCCCTTTGAGTGACCTCAGGAACCCCTGGGTTCTTGCCCAGGCGTGTTCAGAAGTGGCCAGGGCTTCCAGGCAGGGAAGGGGGATGGGTCCCAGACCTGAGGCAGGCAGAGCCGGGTAGGAAAGCAGATGGGGTGTCAGGGACAAGAATGGGAGAGGGTGGGAGAGGAGCACAGACTACCTCTGACTGGGCGGCAGTGACTGGGCAGAGGACGTCTGCCTGGGCTGGTGCGGGAAAGAGGGCAGGGACAGCAATTTGCGACTGCGTGCTCACTCATGGTCCAGGATGTTGGGGATATCAAGTCCTTCAAAATTCTGCATCTCCAGGATTCGGTCAAAGTGCTCCAGCCGCTGGTTATTGTTGGCCATGTGTGGGGGCAGGTGGCAGTTGACGATGCTGACATAATAACCGTAAAGCTTCAGGCAGATGTTGACGCCCCCTTTGTTCCCCTGGTAGGAAGAGTGGGCAGAGGCGTTGGAAGCTGCTGTGGGTGGGACACACCTCTCTTTTCCCACTATAGGCCTGAGGAGAGATGGTCTCTCCTCCCCACAGGATCTCCCAGGGCCAGACGTTCAGCTTCCCAGGGCGAGCTCTCCACCCGGGAACCCAGCTCATCCAGCCTGAGGTCTCAGGATGCTAAACCCCCGGAGGCAGAAGAGTGGGTATGCTGGACACCGGCCTGGCCAGAATGCTGAGACTCATTTTACTCCTTCTCCCATTTTCCCAGCTCTGAAGCTCCCAGCCCTTCCCATGACTCAGACAAGACTCAGTTCTTACCCAGAACCCGAAGAGGCCGGTGGGGGTGGACTTAGTAGAGAGGATCTGGATAAAGGGCAAATGCTGACACTTGGCAAAGACCAGTAAGAGGAGCCCCTGCATGCGGACAGAGGAGACCTGCAGGACAGGGGAGGACAATGGTCATGCATTTCCCTGCACAGGCTACATGTGTCCCTGGCAGGCCCTGTGCCACACAAACACCCTTCCCCAGGGTCTATGGTATCTTAGTTCAAGTCTCAGAGTTTCACCCCCTTTAGTTGCTAAATGATGCAGTGGAGGAGCTGAGCATGTTTGTGTCTGTTCTTGGGCCTGGGGGCTGAGGAGAGAGAAGGCAAGGCTGCCAGGGCACCCTGCCATAGGGAGGGCATCGACTCTCAGTTGCTGCCCCATGCACGCCTAGGTGCTCCTCTCACTGATGATGTCCTCCTGAGGTCCTCTGGGTGCCCATGCGCCACCACCCCTGTGGGCCAGGGCTTCAAGGAGGACTGCAGTTATAAAGGATAGCGGCTGAGGGCACTGACTTTGAAGTTAGCCAGATCAGGTTCAAATCCTGGCCGGGGCTCTTAGTGTTTGGTACTGGGCAAGTCTCTCAGCCTATTATTTAATTGATAGAGCAGGAATCTATCTCATAGATGCTGGAAGAATTAACTAGCAGCTATTGTTTTTTGGTTTAAGGGTTCTTAAAAAAAGACTTTATTTATTTACTTTTAGGAAGAGGGGAAGGGAGGGAGAGAAACATCAATGAGCAAGCAATACATCAATCAGTTTCCTCTTCACTGACCCCAGCCAGGGACCTGGCCCACAACCCAGGTATGTGGTCTGACCACGAATTGAACTGGCAACCTTTAGGTTTGCAGACCAGTGCTCAATCCACTGAGCCACACCAGTCAGGGCTGGTTAAATGATTCTTAAAGATAAATGCAGGGAATGAACATGACAGAGCCTTCTAGGGTGCTAGGAATATTCTGACTCTTGACTAGACTGGTGGTAACAGGGATGTATATACATACAAAATCCATCAGCCCTGGCTGGTGTGTCTCAGTGGATTAAACACCAGACTGTGAACCAAAGGGTCACTGGTTCAATTCCCTGTCAGGGCACATGCCTAGGTTGTGGGCCAGGTCCCCAGTTGGGGGCATTTGAGAGGCAACCACACACTGATGTTTCTTTCCCTCTCTTTCTCCCTCCCTTCCCCTCTCTAAAAATAAATAAGTAAAATAAAATAAAAATTTTAATCCATCAATCGGTAGTACATACGTTATAGCTCAGTGAAAATTAAAAAAATGCTCCCCCCAAATAACTATAGATGGTGGGCAGCTGGATGTTCACAAAAGCAACCTAGAGCGGATGACAGTGCAAACAGAGGGCAAGCGTTCGCAGGCTGGGGAGAACAGCTAGCATCTACTGAAGTACTTCATATCCCATTTAATCTTTACACCAGCCCTGTAGGGAACCGCTGTCCCTGGTTTTCAGATGAAGGACTGAGGCTCAGGGAGACTAAGGAAGCCCAGGACTACCTGGACAGAAACATCCAAGCACCAGGCCTGCCAAAAGCCCTGCTGTGTGTGGCCTAGGATTGGGGCGGGGGGGGGGGGGTAGACGTGAGAATGGGCTCCAGCTAGTCACCCTCTCTCTCAGATTCAGGCTGTCTGCATCCACCACTCAGAGTTGCTGTTTCCGGAGCATGAGGTGCAGAGGCCAAGGAGGAAATCCCCGGGTGGGGAGCGCATACTGGGGCCTTCCAGGAATTATGAAACTTGATCCTGCAGGTCAGGAGCTCTGGCTCAGTGGAGGCGACAAAGCAGGGGGAACCCCAGACCCAGGCCTGAGTGAGGGAGGCGTGAGAACCTAGGGTCGGACAGCGACCCTACAACTGTGTCCACAACCCCACCCTGCACCCCGTCTTGGTTTCTACCCTTCACAGGCACACACGCTAATGAGAGTAAAGGGAGGGCTATACTACCGAGGGACTGACTCTCAAGGGAACAGATAGAGATTCAGGAAGAGTTTCAAGTTTAACCCTTACCCAGAGCTGACTGGGGCCCTGGGGCTCCACCACAAAGGCACCAGTCCACTTTGTGAAGAAGGGAAGTGGAGGAGTGGGGGGTAGGGCAGGAAAGCCTCAGACTGGGAGAAAGGGTGGGGCTATGGGGAAAGGCAGGAGATTTGTAGGGGAAATTCTAGTTAGAGGAAATGAAGTGGGTGGGGCTAAGGAAAGGCCTAGAAAGGAGGTGACCGGGAGTCCTGGAGCCAGCCAAGGGGGCAGCCCCAGGCTTCTCAACCTACTCCTGTCCAAGAAATAGGCTACAAGGGGTCACCCCTTCACCTCAGTTCTTGCCTCAGTTCTGCTCTGGGTGCCAGGCCCTCAGACTGACCTCCCAACCTTGGGAGGCAGCATGGGTAGAATGGGTTGTATCCCTGCCACAGGCTGAGCTCATTTCCTTGGCTCAGTTCCATTCCACCAATCCTTCACCAGTTAGCTGAGGTGCAAGGAGGCTGCCAGTCTTGGGAAGGGAGTGGGCAGTGAGAGAAGTGGTTCTGCCCTTTGAGAGGATCTAGCTCCCTATCTGCAGGAGGAGGCCTGAGTTTGATCTGGAGGGAGCCAAGGGCTCGGGGGCTGGCATTTTCTAGCCTCAGTAGCAGGACCAAACCATGTATTCCCTGCTCCTGGCTCTGCCCTCCGTGGGAGGAGTCACAGCTCTTGCCTTAGCACCCTTAAACACACTAGGGTAGTAGAATTAATTCTAAAGAAATCCAGTCACAGTGAAGAGAATAAGGCAATTCTGGTATTTTTCAAGAAGTACTGAATTAGGTGCTTTAAATGGGAGTGTGTTTTACCCCTCAGCTATGCAAGGCAGAAAGGTGAAGATCAGCAATCAGGAGGCTTCCTGTGGATTCTCCCATGAGCTAAATAATTCCCCAGAGAATACTGACCCTTCAGACTGACAATCCTTTTACTCTGCACCCACCTCCCCTTTTCTACCCCTAGGCTCCTGAGAACTTAAGCTGCATGACTCCTATAATCAGAGGACACCCTCTGATACCAGAGGGTGAGCCATGGGGTACCTGCCAACCTTAGAGCTCCCCAATATGGCAATAAAGTACAGTAGTTAAGAATATGGGTTATGAAGTTTGAAAGGTCTGGATTCAAATCCCAGACAGCCTATATGATTTCTGAATCTTGGTTTTATCTGTAAAATATGCACATTTCAAGACAGTTGTTAAGATTTTAAATGATGCAATAAGGAGCTTATTTATAATACTTAATATCATGTAAGAATTCCATAAATGGTAGCAATTATTATTATACTCAGAGATTGCACGCTAGGCATCTAGCATGGTGGGCTGGGGATGGGGTAGGCACTGAGCTGTTAGTAAGCCCTGCTGCATCTCCCCAAGGAGCTCTCCCAACCTGAAAAATATTAAGGTGTAAATTAACCCTGGGGCCCTGCCCCTGCGCTAGCTACCTTGGAAAGGCAAGAGTAGGCGGGAGCCCCAGGGAGACACGTGTCACTGAGGTTTAGGCCTTTAAATAAATGGGAAACAACACAAAAACTCAAGTGGGAGACCAATGGACTGGGGGGTTAGTGACAAGAGGTAGGACGCATTTCCCAATTGCCCATGAACTTGAAAGTTACCTTGACGAAGTTGAGAGGGGAAAGCACATCCATGAAGAAACTGCTCCATGGGTCTTCAAAGGCAGTGTCAGCAAGGAGGCTTATGATCCCACAGTCCATTTCCTGCAAACTGCCGGGCCCAGGTTAGAGGCTGTCCCCCGTCCTGGAGGGAACTGCCTCTGCCACTGACATTTTGTGCTGCCCTCAGCAGACTTTCAAGCCTTGGGTTCTCATGGCTATGATCTCTCCCGCCCCTGGCTGTGAATCACCACCCCTTTGCGATTGCTGACCCAGGACAAGAGGCACTGGCCTTGATGCAAGCTGAAAGCTCCTAGCCATCAGACTCCAGAGAGAGGGAGGAAATTACAGCAGTTCCCCATGGGGACAACTTGGGACTGGTCAGGCTCACCTGATCTCAGACACAGGGGTGAGTGAAGGGACCCTGCAGACACCTACCCAATGACATACATGTCCAGATTCAGGTTCTGGTTGTTCAGCTGAAGGAGATCATTGGGGTCTAGAGGGGGTGCTGCAGAGGCCACATTCCATGTCACGACATGTATGCTGTGGAAGGGATGAAAAGCAAAGTCATGGAGGAAGGAGGATAACACTTTGCCCAGGTAATGGATGGGGGTGTAGGCCTGCTAACGGCTGCACCACAATCCACTGCTATCACAGTGGGAAACACGCTTCTGCATCTGATGGTGGTGACAGAGGAGCTGAGCTACAAGCCCTCCATCTGCACCTTTGTCCTCTGAAGCAGGAAATTCCCACCCTGGATTGGCTTCTCCACGCAGGCTGAAAGCTGCCTACATCTGGCAGCACTGGTGCTGCCAACACTAGGAGAACTGCCAAAGAGGGCCCAGAGGTTTTGGGGTCAGGCAAAAGAAGGGGTGGACAGTCAGGAACTCATTAGTTTCATCAACCATTCACACTGCAGCAATCATCTGCGGCTCAGTTAGCAACTCCCTACTCCCCATTCTTCAACTCGAGGGGCCCTAGGATCGCCAGAGTGATTCTTGAGGTTCAGGTTTCACCTTTTGATGAGCACCACAAGACAGGAGAATTTCAAAAATAACAGATATGACACCATGTTCCCTTCCTCATGCCTTCCTATGGTTGGGAATCCCTGAAACACAACTAATTCTGCCAGCATTTAAGAGAGCCTAAGGAGATGATTCTACCTAATAGGTCTCTCAACATCGCTCTCAAATGTCTGCCGTCGATTGGGAAAAGCCATCAGTTAGTGATATGCTCCATCTCATCTTCACATGAGCCCTAGAGAAGCAGCGGAACTAGATCAGCAACTCTCGTTAACACTGGATCCCATCAGAGGCTCAGGAGAAGGGGAGACTTGCAGATTTCCACGGAATAGTTATAGGAAAGGAACACTCCGAGGAAGCCCCAGGCAGTGCTGAGTCTGGGGAAGGCAGTAGCTACAAACCCTGGGGAGAACAAGAACAGCCACCAAGCCTCAGGTGAGTCCTAGCTACACCATGCAGCAGCGGCAGATCTAGAATGGGAGGTTAGAAAAGGGTAGGTTATCCCAAAACATCTCTTCTCCACCAGATCCCTGTTCTTAGAGGTCCATGTTCTAAAAAAGCACAACTTGAAGAAATTCTTGGCCAGCTTAAAGCAACTTCCTGCTCCTTGCCGAACAAAAACAAAACACAAAAAAAACACCTTCCCAGGCACTCAGCCAGAGATTCTGTGCTTCGTTTGTTTACGATCTCCCCCTGCTGTCCAACAGAAGAGTAAGAAAGGCAGCCTTTTTACTTCAAGATTCTGTGTTTTCCCAGGGACCTGATCTAAGTGAATGGGAAGCAAAAGTCGGGACTTCTTGCCCAAGTTCTCAGGTCCCACGATTAGCAGCAAATCCTTGCATCGTGACCTGCACTAAGTTGGTGATTAGCCTTGTTCCTTGTTCCAGAGCAAACACGGGACCAAGCTACTGTCACTTCACCAAAGCATCTTATTTAAATCTGATTTCAAATTTTAGGAGGTCACAAGGGGATCAGGCAGACCCCATGATGTAAATGCTGATCAAAAGAACAGATTTCTACCCTACAGCTGAGGCGACAATGCTTCGTTATGTCTTTCACTTCAAACAGCCCAACACCACTGCCTCCTCCAGAAGCCAACTGGGCACCTTCTTGGGGGCCCCAGTGGAAAGTAGCTCGGCGGTTTGAGTTTGGGAGGGACGTAGGGCTTGGACTTAACTTAGCCTGCTCTACACTGGGATAGTTTGGCAGGACCTCCGAACTAGGAGCAGCTCTGTAGGACTGGTCTCTTCTCTCCCTGACTGGTTCTACCCCAGATTCGCCCCAACTGGTTCTACCCCAATTGGGTCGGAAGCAGTGACTCGGCCCGGAGCTGTCCTTCCTCACCTGAGCTTCCTGGCTCTTGGTTCGGTTGGCTTTAACGGGTTCACGGTCGCCATCGTCCCTACACGGGTGGCCCGGCCACTCGCTCCAGCCGGTCCGGGACCGATCGGCACTGCGCAGACAGCAAGTCCCGGCCCTCTCAGTCTTGCCGGATTGTTTTCCTTCCGGATTCTGGACCTACGCCTCGGCTCCCGTAAGGGGCGGGGCTTGAGCGCAAGGAGCGCACTGTCTGGTGAGGCCCAGAGGAAGGGGCGGTACTCTCAACAAGCGCGAAAAGGTGAAAGGCTGAGGGGATCTGGCGTGTGAGGCGTGTCCTAGTGTCTACAGAACCCGACGTAACACTGCCCCGCCCGGCGTGCGGGGTGCGGCTGCCCGGATGCCAACCGCGGGGCTCTGCGAGCCAGCCTCGTCGCTGCCGCGGCTCCCAGACTGCACCGCGCAAGGCCGGCCGGCGCGGGGTGGGGGGCAGTCTTCCCGCGCCAGCCGTGGGCACGCCCGCAAGGATGTCTTGGGCTCCTGCAGATTTTGCTAATGTCCAACCTGAGAGCTCTAATTTATGCGCTGCCCGTCCCCCTGCAACATCCCAACGCCCGGAGACTCAAAGAGCGAAGTGGGGAAGGGTCGGTCCAGCCACTGTCCTGCTAGTAATCCAGTCTCTTTCCCCCCACCCAACTCCAGGTAATCTTCCTCCTGTTGGTCATTGGGCTCCTCCATTCTTCGTTTTCTACGCCCACTTTAAAGTTTTTTTTCGGTTTGCACTCTTGGACACATTGGACATTTCGAGGTTCTTGGACTCTTAGAAAATTAGCCATCAACGAGTGAAAAAAAAATCGCTGCCTCTATTTTACGACCGAACAAGAAATGGTTATTTATTTTGTCAAAGATTAACCGATTTTTTCAGATCACTGGTTCTTAATATTTGGGGCGGGGAGGACAGTGCATGGATCTGATGAGAGCTGTGACTCCCCAGAAAAATTCAGCTTTACAGACAAGCTTTATGAGGTTCACAGACCCAGAAACAAAGTTAATAACTATTTGTGCTTTGCTTGGTAGGATGGGACAAAGGAAGAGGTGAATACGAAGGGAGATAAAAGCCAAAAGGAAATACTGCCAGTAGGAAATGGCCAAATTACTTTCAGATAGGTTTGCAAAGCAAAATGAAATGGGGATGTTTTATTTTTTAAAGATTTATTTATTTTTTTTAGAGAGGGGGAAGGGAAGGAGAAAGAGGAGACAAACATGGATGTGTGAGAGATACATGGATGGGTTGCCTCTCACATACCCTCAACAGAGGAGCCTGCAGCAACCCAGGCATGTGCTGTGACTGGGAATCCAGCCTGTGACCTTTTAGGTTCACAGGCTGGCACTCAATCCACTCAGCCACACCAGCCAGGGCAAGGGGGTGTTTTAATTTACGGAAATCTACCTGTAAAAAATTTGATACACCTTGTATCTTCCCTAATCCTTCCCTGGTAAATAGGGGACATCGGCAAGAGTTGGAAGACATACAAGTTGTAAACTGGACAGAAGGGGCATCACCAATAAGTTCGACTCCAGAAAGCTCTGTCTAGGATTTTATTTAGACTGCTTTTTTCCCCAATATACCTGTATTGGAAGATTGAGACAAAAAGGCACAAACTCACATTAAATAAGGTAATCTAATCAAGTCTACAAAGTATTTTGTAAAAGAAGTAGCACTAGGAACCAACCAAAATAACTTAGGGAGTCCCATCAGGGACTGTAAGAGAACTTGGGAAGATTTACTGGTGCCCACAATACTGACCCTGTCCTTGACCTCTCTCTGCAAGAAGGCCAGAGCCCAGCACCACTCCCACAGAGGCACTGCCGCTTCCAACTGGGACTGTTATCCTGGAAATCTAATGGAAGCAGCGGATCTGAAGGGGCATGGCACATCCTCAGATACTACCCTGGAGCTGAGCCTTTCGTCATAAGCCCCTCTGGGTGCTAGCCACTTTGGAGGGTGGTGTGAAGAGAAAGGGGGATATTTAAAAAAGTACTACACTGTTGCCCAGCAGCAACACCATCTGAAGGGATGGGACAGACTAGGGAAATCCCTCCTTATGTTTATGTGTGCTGGAGCCCCAGATCCACCTGATTTCAGGAAATTCTAGCTCAGCTCATGTGTGGATGCTTTCCAACTGGGGCAACAGGCGAAGGTGGGAGGAGCCAGAGAAAAGGCAGACAGCACAAGCCCCTATCAGAACTGGAGTGATATGTGGATCTCAGAGAAGAGCTGAAGGAAGGAGACTAACATCTGACCCTCAAACCACCTAAATAGCCACCTGTTTAGAATTATTAACAGTTGTTTCTCCCAGGATAACCCACATCTGGACTTCACTGAGTTGACAAATGAAGAAGGGAGAGCGTTAAGCATAAATATAATTATAGCTGATACAGAGCTTGTAGGAAAACATTTACATTTTTCTCAAGTAGGAACACCTCTTCAACTTTCCCAGTCAAATAAATCCTACTAGCATTTGGGATGGTAATAATCACCTGAACTGCACCTCATCATTGCTATGAAAGACCCCATCAAGTGAGGAGACTAAATGGAAGGACATCTGGTTGGAAACAGGCTTCAACAAAGGTCAGAGCTGATCATGTGGAAGGGTCTGAGTCTGTGCACCCTTGCCCCAGGAGGGCCACAGAGACACACCCCCTTCAGGATGTCACAAGTGAAATCCTGTGAGAGACTCCCTTATTGCACTTAGAAATAAGGCAAAACAAACTGACAGAAACATGAGGATAAATTTTCCCATCTTACTTCCCACTCTCCCAAAAGAGATCTGGTTTCTCTCATTAGCAGCTGCACGCAGGCCAGCATGGGCTTGGGTCACTGTGCGCTTGGCCGACATTACTTCACAAGGTGTGGGAAATGCTAGGAAACAAAACAGCTATCTTGGAATCTCCCATCGGGAAAGGCATATCCAGGTTCTGCCGAGTCATAGGAAACTTGGAAGTGCTCAGCAGCTTCTGTTCCCCTGGAGCCTGGGCTCTCCGAGGCCTACTTTGGCAGAGTTCTGTACTATGGTCACTACTTGTTTCTGATTGTCCAGGACACAGCTCATCTTATGGGCAGGACGAACTGAGATCTTGATTCCCAAATCCTTTCCAGCAACTGGAGAGAAGAGGGAACAGGTTCTGCTGGGAAGAAGCTTTTGCATGCTCGTTTTGTGCAGCATGAAAAGATCAGGACTGTTGGGTCCTGACCAGCCTCAAAGACAGAGGACAAGAATCTAAGAAAGCACAGAGAAGAGAGGATTATTGCTGAGTGACAGCACCAGCCCAAATGGGAGGAGGAGCCGGGACAAACCAGGAGCTCCTGGAGTGGGGGGGGCAGGGCAGACTAATTGTATATACGGGGCAGGCGCCTCCAGGTGGAGAGATGACCCTGGCATATTACAGGCTCTGCAGAGATGCAGACAGCAAGGGCAACAGGAGGGCTGAGAAGCCTTAGGTATTTATTTCTAAGACTAGTGACCAGAGATGTAATAACCTGGGGCAGGGGTTATCTCTACGTGTAAAATTTCCAAAACGGACTGGCTGGGCCTTGGGTATTTCCATAGTGTTAAGAACACTTCAACAATGGGTTACTGGGAGCAGAGGTCAGAGTTCTGAAGCCACATTGCTGTTCTGTAGAACTGGGGGGAAATACTCTGTATTTCTAATCCATCCCCTTTCCCCATGTGAGCACTCAAAATTGCAAAGATCTGCCCAGGAAGCAAACTACCTGTTTATCCCAAGGCTGAAAAAAAAATAAATTTAAGTCATTTAAATCACCACATCACAAAAGGCAGCTATTTTGAAAGACTAAAAATGTCACTTGAAAATAAAGGGGGGGGGGGCACACAGAAATGGGTTGAGAACACAATGGCTGGAGAGGGAGGAGCTGTAAATACAGCAGCCTACATGCCACATATCTCAGAGGAGCAGGCTCCTGCACACACGGGCTTCATAATACCAGAGGGTCTATTTGTTCACAATATTAAAGGGCATCTAGAATTGGCTACAGTAGGGGATTGAAAGTTGCCTGAAGAATGGGCACAGAAAGGCTGCATCCGAAGATGGCCTGTCACTCAGGAGGGTGGAGCTGCTGGGCCTTCCTGTTGACCACTGTCTTGCAAAACTGGAAGAGAAATACAATTGTTAAGGAAGCAACAGCAACAGAGAAAAACAGAAACTGTAAATCAGTAATGGGGAATTTCAAAAGGAAGAAGGATGCCAGTTGGTGTCCTCAGGGTTAGGGGGAGGGACCAAAGTTAAGGGTCGAGCAGCTCCTGAGAAACTGGCATTGCAACAATCCACTTAGTCCTCCCCGTTTATCTCCCAGAAGTTCTCCTCAAGCACTCGGGGCAGGCAGAAGAAACAGAGGTTTGCATCACTGCTGGTGAGACCCCAGGCCTCTTGAGCTCCTTGGTGTGAGGGGACAGCCAGTTTTTATCTGATACAATAATCTCTCAGAGCTGATGAGGAGCAAGGCCAGGTTTTTCATTCCATGAAAAAATGCACTCTGACCTGCTGGAAAAACAGCAGGTCTGGACATGTGTGGGGCACTGAGAGCAATTAGAAGGGAATTAGGGAGGAGTGATAATATGAACAAGGAACATCCCATCCTGGTCCTATGACCACGGGAGAAATGCCTGCCAAGCTCCTGAGAGATGTTGCCTCTGATGCGGACAGCTACTTAGTATGGGATCAGGGATACAAAAAGGAAGGAAATGAAGCACCAGGCATAACAATAAATGCCAACAGACTTTCCAGGTGACACTATCAGTTAGGAGATAGGAACTGGCTCTGGCACGGGGTGGGGAGGGTATAGAGTGTCCTAGAATGCCATCCTTGACTTCAAACGGCTCAAGTTAGGAGAGGAGGAGTACTTAGTTGCAAATAAGCTTCAATTCGGCATCCGCCATGCCCCCTGTCTCACCACCTTGTCTATGTATGTCTCTGTCTGGGTAGTTCTTTGTAAAATTACATGTGTCTGAAATGTTCTAACAGTCGTAATGTCTTTCAATGGAAGCCCAAGAGCATGACAAGCCTGTTTAGAATGGCAGTCATTATTACTAGGAAGCAGGCTGAGAAATGAAGCCGATTTTCTGACTCCATAGTGAGCTGCTGAGGCTTTGAGGGCCCAAACTGATTTTAGCACCTATGACACACACACAGGGAAACTGGGTACAT